GGTTAATAGTTACTGGTTACCTGGTTACCCTGGTTAATTGGTTAATAGTTACAGGTTACTTGGTTAATAGTTACTGGTTACCTGGTTACCCTGGTAACTTGGTTACCCTGGTTACTTGGTTAATAGTTACAGGTTATCTGGTTACCCTGGTAACTTGGTTACCCTGGTAACTTGATTACCCTGGTTACTTGGTTAATAGTTACAGGTTACTTGGTTACCCTGGTTACTTGGTTACCCTGGTTACTTGGTTAATAGTTACAGGTTATCTGGTTACTTCTTCTGCTGTTTCAGTGAAACGTTCAGAGTATTTGCTCTGTTTACAGTTTTCAGTCAGTTCTTGAAGTTTTCCACGTTAAGAAGCTTTTTCGTCTTTGTTCAGTCTGACACTAATAAAGTTCAAGTAAAAAATAGAAAAGGTAACATGATCCAACTTCCTTGATAATAAAGTACGCAACACCAAACCTCCATGACACAACCTCTGAAGTGAGCGTTCTCTTCCTGGTTACACCCCGCGGACACACGGCACAGTCACAGTTCGACCCTCTAATGAATCCTCACGAAGCTGTGAAGAGTTCGGCCGGTTGTATTCAGACTTTGAGCGGCTGTGGTTTCACATGAAGCTTCACTAAACATCTTCTGCCTCGTGTTCAATGTTCAGCTCTCACAGAGAAGACAACACAAGTTTTACCTCGTGACGCAGAATTCACTGTGATTCAGTGATGAACTTCAAATCTGGAGATTTTAAAGCGGAGTTCAGAGACTTCTCACCTCGTCCCTGTGAGACGCTGGTCCTGGTCCTGGTCTGCTCCTGGTCTGGTCCTGGTCTGGTCCTGGTCTGGTCTGGTCCTGGTCCTGGTCTGGTCCTGGTCCTGGTCCCGTCAGACTGATCAACCTGCAGTAAACAGGAAGAAATCTGCAGCTGATCGCTAAACTGGTGGGCGTGGCACCCGATGACGTAACCAGTAGTCACGTGGTTTACGGACACTGGTGCAGAGTGACGTCATCATGACGCTGATAAACATAATGATTTCCGGATGTGATTTTTATTCAAGTTTTAAAGTTTTCTATTTCCTCTTCACGTATTTTTATATTATCTTGACTTTGGTGAGTCGACGCTTAAGAAAATCACAAAATCATTTTTTATCATTAACTTCACTTCCGAAAGCAGAGGAGCTTCATTTCTAAATATTTAGAATCAATGTTGATGTGCAGAAACTTAACATTCTGAAAAGTTTTCACTTGTAATAATGAATATTTATGAGTATTTATCAAATTACTATTCTGCCCCCTGCTGGTCAGCAATGAAACATCCATTTCTTCTTCTGTGTTCTGGTTTTATTTGAAATGTGGATGAAAGAAGATGAACACTTTACTTTGAGAACAGTTTAATCAAGCCACAGTAAATATACATTTACTATAAAGACGTGTATTTACACAAACGTACAAAAGAACATGTTTCTTTGTAAAACTCTCAACTTCCGAGCTGCGGTGCGTTCAGGTCCAGGGGAATTTCCTGAGACTCTGAGGTGAGGAACACAGAACTTCTCTTTCACACAGAGGTCACATAATCACAGGACAAAACAGAACACACCGGTTTAACAATGTTCTTCTCTGATTACACATGTTCACTAGTACATGCTAAATACTGTGTCCACACGCTGCAGGACACACAACATTTAAGAACAAGCTGTTATAACAAGGAGGAAGCTCAGGATTCTGTTTTCTTTACAGTAAATATGTGAAAATATCTGTACAAAGACCTTTGGTTGAATATCTGCTCCAGGATTTACCTCTAGTGTTCAATATACATATTTAGATAACTCATTTAAATAATAATGTGGCTAAAATATCAAAAAATAGTCTGAATATTATGTTCACGTCTTCCACTGAAGAAACATGAAATGAGCTGAACATGCTTCTTTTCCCTTTGTTTAAACTCCATTTTCACAGGTCACTCCACAACGTGGAAGAAGAAGAAGAACTACACGTGGTTAAAGATCAACTGGTATAAAATAGATTTTCTTCTTAAATACTTTTAACGTAACATTTGAAATGTTCAGACGAGTTCGAACGAGAACTGAAACTGAAACGCCAAGAAATAGCGACACTAATGATAAGTCAAGATGGACAACAAGAATGTTCCCAAAAGTGAAGCCAAAACATCTCTACCGCCCCCTGGTGGCTGGCTCCACAATCACTACTGCACAGACTCTGACTCCAAGTGACGACATCACCACAAGATGGCAGCGTTTGTTTGTGAGATTTATTAGCTTCATTGCTGGAGGAAGTGAGAGAAAGTGTTTAAATATATTTATAATATTTCAGTTTTAAGTATTTCCTCCACACGGGGCGCTGCAACAACATCCACTGAGAAACAGTGACAGTGACGCTGGTGTTTCCTCTTTTGTCTCCTTGTTTGGTCTCCTCCACCCTCAGGGGGAGGAGCTGCTCTGACAGTGTTTTGAAGCCTCACGTCCAAAATGTTTAATGACATTTTAAAAAAACCTTCGACCTTCAAAGTAAAAAACTTTGATTGAGGTTTCTGACTTTTTAAAAAGGAGCGAACGCTTTAACTGAAACGTTGTGAATAAGTTCTTACGAAGGAAACGTTTAACTCATGTGACTGATCAGCTGTTTCCACCTGAACAGAAAACATGAAGAGAGAATAATTACAACTTGTCTTAATATTTTCTCTGGTTGATCAGCGACTGCTTTTGTTTCTTATTGTCAAACAACTTGTTTGAGTGTTTGCTGACCTACAGCGCCCCCTTCTGACCAAACTACACAGCCTCATTTAAATCTGCCAAATTGGCATTTTTTTCTTTTCCTGTTTTGCAACATTTCAAATTCACTCGATGGAAAAACCAAAAGCTGAGCTAATAGACTCAAAGCCACTCCTTCAGTGAACGACCCGTCACGTGACCCGTCACGTGATCCGTCACATGATCCGTCACGTGATCAGTCACATGATTAAAGGTTTGAGTTAAATCTCAGCTCCAGCCTCAGGAACAGGAAGTGACAGTTAGGACGTCAGGACTTCAGCTCTGTAAAATCTAAAATCTAAAACTTCATGTTTCAACATTAGTGTTTAACAATGATCATGAAAACGTGCTCAGGAGTCTCTGGTCACCGTGACGATGCTGCTCCAGCGTCTGGTTCATGTTCGATAAGACACGAGATGATGCAGGATCCAAACCAGACGTGAGTGAAAGATGCAGTTTGAGAGTCTGGAGGAAACATGGAGGAGAAGAAGCGCTGGTGTTGGACCTCTGACCAAGTTGTCAAACATCCCTCCATCATCCCTTCATCACCCCTCCATCATCCCTCCATCACCCCTTCTCTCTGTCTGTTTCCCTTCCTGAGTTTGAAGCTGGATATATATAAATATATTTCTATATAGATGTGGGAGACATCTTCAGTCCAACATGGCGTCCAGCTGGTCGGCCAGGTCGTCGAACATGTTGCCGATGTCGTCCAGGATGGTTCCTGCAGACTTCACTGAGTTTGCTCCGCTGGTGAGAAAAGACACAATAAACCAACATTAATGCCAAATACACAAAAATATAAATACAACAGTTTCCTGATTAGACTGTGTTTGTATTAAAACACAGAAACACAGAACATTAACCTTCACTAACCTGAAGCTGTCATTTTTCCCTCAGTGATTTTACAACGTAGAGAAACTGAAGCAACGTTAAAGAATCAGATCACTGTTTTATTTTATCATAAAAAAAAAAGTGAAACCTTCACGACCTGAGAACAGAACGCTGGGCGGCGTCTTTCTGTTCCCACCGAGAATCAAACCCCAGTGACGCCACCTGTTGTTCAGTGAGTCGTTGTTCAGCGCCATCTTGTTTTCTTAAACCAGAAGTAACCATATTTGGAGAGTAGTGGGTGGAGCCTGACTTTGAGCTTGAGGACACGCCCACCTACACCTGCACCCATTAGACGGGACTAGCTTCTATAGAAACGAGTGGAGTCGCCCTCTGCTGGTCAGGGAGAGAATTCAGACACACGTACGTCTCTTCTATGAACCGTCTGTGATCTCAGGTCTAATCCAAGTCATCACAGACACTTTGTCTCCTGGACGATAGACTGATTTACTTCCAGTCGATGTTTTTTCCTTGTGATTCTCGTCCACACTGAGACGACAGGTCGCCACCAAAGGTCAGGAGGTCATCGACATCAGCAGAGTTCATCCTCACTGAAGCGTGAGACTTGACGGGTGAGCGGTGACGAATATCCAACCCAAAGTTTGAACGGTTCTTTGTGTCTTACCTCTCTGAGTTGTCGTCCAGGTTCAGTTTCCTCTCCACAGCCTTCAGAGCTGCTTCCAGAGACGTGCTGGTTTGATCCAGTCTCTGCTGAACCACCTCAGTCCCACAGGACGACTCCGGGACCAGATCCGGACCGACCACACACACCTGAGGCCTCGCCGCTGTCAGAGACGGACTCTGAGGGGCCGAGGCTGAAGACGAGGTCTGGGCCGGAGCTGGAGGCTCGTGGACCAGAGAGGACGGAGCGGTGAAGGCCAAACTCTGAACCACACTGACGGTGACGGCTGGAGTCGAGTGTCCAGCTGCTGAGGATCAAAACCACGACGTTCCAAAAGAGACAAAGAGAAAGATCAAAGACTCAACTGCTGAACGTCCAAACGTGTGTCTGTGTCTGTGTGTGTGTGTGTGTGTATCTGTGTGTGTGTGTGTGT